GCATGTCCGCTAACGTCCATCCTGACCCTCGGCGCCCAGGTCATGTCCGCTATCGACACAACGCCCAATTGAGGCAAAACTTTATCCCCCTGCTCTCTTCCCTGCTCTCCTTACAAATCTTGTGATTAAACAGAAGGACGACGGAGCCATATTGCCCCGGTCCAAAATGTGTATAAACGGCCTGAGCCGGGCAGGGCCGCCCGGTTTGACGGCTCCCGGACCGTGCAATTCATTGTCCCATCATAAAACGATTTGGCGGGTGGTGGAGAAGGGGGGAGGGGCAGGGCAGGGCCTCTCTAATTTCTTATTTTTTCTCTCTCGCTCTTTCGCTCTCTTTCTCTCGCTCCCCCTCCCCCTTTCACGCGCACTCAATTTCGCTCCCTTTTGCCTGGAAATGTTAATGGCAGTCGGATTAAGGACGGCAGCAGCGCTGAATTGTATATATAATAGACGGGCGCGAACCGCGAGAAGGAAAAAAAAATATAAAAAGGCAAGGTAAATCGAACAAAAAGAGCATCAGCCTTTCGTCGTATTTTCGCAAAACTTTTTACGAGCGGCAGACCACCGGCCGCCACAGCCGGCTGCGCGCAGCGTGCGCGCACAGGAGTGAGTGCATTAACACAAACGGGTTCCCATCCCCCTCGAGACGGTCCCGCTCCCACTCCATAAACCGGCGGTGAGGTGGGAGGTGGGGCAGCCTGCCGGGGCAGCCTGCCGGGGCAGCGTCCAACTTAGTCCAGGCAACGAAGTCAAAAAAGGGCTCCTACCCGGAACAAAAACATGTAAAGCTGGATTTTTGATATGTTGTGCAGTTTGATGTGCTGAATCGAGTACTGAAGAGTCTACCGACCTAACTCGTGAGCGTTCACCGGAAATTGAACAAAAGGGCCTAAATGCAGGGGTTTGCGGTATTCGCTGTGGGTCCGAAACTATTCGTCCGATTTTCACGAGAACGGTGTCGAAATGTTCGGAAAAGAGCAAGGAACACGTCGACTATAAAACAAAAGTCGCGCGGTGTTAAATTATGTGCTTAAATTTGATCTTAATGAAAAAAGTTCGTTTTTCAAAAGTGCGTTTAAAACATATCACGTCATATCTCTGGAACGAGGCGGTAGACTCAAAGATGACCAAAGCAAACGATGTGTGTCCATTCTTCAGCTCCACGTCGCTGTTTTCAGATTTTCGGCACATTTAACCGTTCAGGTTCTACGCGCCTTGAACCGAAGCAGTGCAGAGCCCCCGGAGCCGCCCCGCCGGAGCCCGCCGCTGGAGTCGGGGTGGTGGTGGGGGGAACCCAGCGCGCTCTCTCTCCCTCGCCTGCATGCGACAGACAAAGATAGAGAAGCGCGCGCTCGCCCCGCCGGCCGGCTGAAGGAGCGAAAATAAACGTCAAATATCTTACGTTTAGAAAATAGACAGGGTATTTTGCTTTCGTGCATCGGGTAGAACTGAGTGTCCTCTACGCTCTTCTGAAGAGTCTACTCGGCGATCTCATACGGGAAGCGTATGCACCGAGGAAAACCCCAATCATGCACTCCTACCTTTAAACGGGTATTGAAGGTGAAAGGTGAAAGGTACGACACTTCAGATGAGCGTATTTATAAGAGAAAAGTGCCCTCTTTACAGTGATATAAAGTGCCGCTGCAATAAATTAAAAGAAACAAAGGAAATAAGAGTTAAGGAGACTCAACCGTATTTATTGTCCTATAAAATTAAGCACGTTAGTCAAAAAGGGGTGAAAGGAGCGCTCAAATCGCAAAATAGCAGAGGAAGTACCCCCCCAAAACCACACATTCTCTAGCTTTATAACACTTCATCGAGGATATAGTGGCACTATACCACGGGCAATCAAAACAAAATCAACGTTTTCGTTGGAAATCGGTCGATGCGTGACCTTTAATAGTCTCTATCTCGAGAACCATTTTAGCTACCGGGCCACGTGTATCTCAGTTGAATGCGCGATATGCGGTTTTGGGGGGGTACGTCCTCTGCTATTTTGCGATTTGAGCGCTCCTTTCACCCCTTTTTGACCAACGTGCTTAATTTTATAGGACAATAAATACGGTTGAGCCTCCTTAACTCTTATTTCCGTTGTTTCTTTTAATTTATTGCAGCGGCACTTTATACCACTGTAAAGAGGGCACTTTTCTCTTATAAATACGCTCATCTGAAGTGTCGTACCTTTCACCTTTCACCTTCAATACCCGTTCAAAGGTAGGAGTGCATGATTGGGGTTTTCCTCGGTGCATACGCTTCCCGTATGAGATCGCCGAGTAGACTCTTCAGAAGAGCGTAGAGGACACTCAGTTCTACCCGATGCACGAAAGCAAAATACCCTGTCTATTTTCTAAACGTAAGATATTTGACGTTTATTTTCGCTCCTTCAGCCGGCCGGCGGGGCGAGCGCGCGCTTCTCTATCTTTGTCTGTCGCATGCAGGCGAGGGAGAGAGAGCGCGCTGGGTTCCCCCCACCACCACCCCGACTCCAGCGGCGGGCTCCGGCGGGGCGGCTCCGGGGGCTCTGCACTGCTTCGGTTCAAGGCGCGTAGAACCTGAACGGTTAAATGTGCCGAAAATCTGAAAACAGCGACGTGGAGCTGAAGAATGGACACACATCGTTTGCTTTGGTCATCTTTG